CAAATTAACTTCTCCATATGTGTTTCGCAAAAGTAAAGGGCTTAACAGCGGAGAACAATGCTGAACTCAAATAATGCAACTAAATTGTATTCTTGTTGGTCTTCCGTACTTGATAATTACTGTCCGACAATAAACATAAAAATTACATTTCTTAATTACCATGGCTAATCTGATTGGTCCAAATTATACAATTTTCAAAGAGCTAGACAATGTCTCACAGAGACATTTTGAAAGGTTGATGTTGCTTTTAACTAATGTTAAAATATTTTTAAAAATTCAATTTAAAATTTTTTTTAAAAATCTTTTTAAAATTAAAGAAATAAGAAATAATTGTATTAAAATTCAATTTTCATTGAAAAAATTTTTTGCTTTCAGAAAATATTGTCCATATTCATAAAAACAAATTAAAGCAAATAAAAGCATTTGAAACTAAATAATATATTTGTTTTATTGAGTTTTGCATGTTACAATTCACAGCTGATTTTCAGGTACGTTGGCCAAAAAAAAAAAAAAAAAACGATTTGCATTCTTCAAAGCCTTGTGCTTTTAACTATTGTAATCACTAAAACCGATGGTCTTGAATTTCTAGTTTTTCATAAAATTAGTTATGGGGGTGTTAATAAATATGAAAAAAAATATTTCTGCCATGACTTTAATAAAAAAAAAAAAACATATAATAATTTTGATCATCTGTGAATAGTTTCTGAAAGTTTCATTAACATCTGACAATTATTTTAATTTTTGCAAGATTTTCCAAATTAATGTATGTAAATATAAAAAAACGCGCTAAAAATTATCTGTGTTATTTACTACCCCTTGTTGTGACAGAGAAACAAGGTTTTTTAAATCAAAATTTAGAATATTCTAAAAAGATGGAAAAAAAATTTAAAAAAAAAAATTTAGTCTATCCCCTTCATAAAAAAAATAAGCATTTTTGACGATAAAATTTTGTTTTCATAAACTTTGGCGTCTTTTTCATCAGACTATGCTCTGTTTTAGCGATTCTGTGGAGTGACTTAGGTTAAAAGACCAGGTTGTTTGTGTGTGTGTTCCTTTATATATGGGATGGTTCTTACATTTTCAGCCGATAAAACAAACATCCACTTTTTTTGTTTTTGGCAGGTAGTATTTCTTATTGTCTTGCACTTTTTTTTTCCTTATTTATACATTCAGAATGCTTTAAAATTTCCATTTACAAGACAATTGTTTATAATAAAATTTGAATTCTATTCAATCGGGACTCAGTATATATATTTGAAAACAATGTTTTTGTTTGAGTTTGACCAATTCATTAAAAAAAAAACTAAGACATGCGTGTCCGTCAACCTAAACAATAATCTAACGATCTCTACTGATTATGCGAATCGAAAAATGATAATTCTTTATCTTTTGAATAATTCCACATACTTTTAGGGCTGTTTTACAATTCCTTTTTGCAATTTGCTTTTCTTTTCATCAATAAGCATTGGTTCTGGTTTGAAATTAATTCAATATTTAAAAATTTTTTTTAAAAAATAATTTAAAAATATGCAGATGGTAATTTGAAAATTTAATAAAAAAAACAACAATATTTGAAGATGATAATTATTTTTTCAAACACAGTACTTTTAATGAACAAAAGAATATAAAAAAAAAAAAGTTATTATTTTTTTATTAGAAACAACAAGTGGAAAATATATTCAAATCAATAAATTATGAATCACCACAAAAAATATATATTATGTATTCAATATAAAATATAAATATAAAAGTGTGTCACAAAGAGTTACCTACATTTTCAAAATTAAGTCAAACATGTTTTATTAAATTTTTTTGCAATCATTTTTTCCATTTTCTTGCACATTTTTCTGTATTTTGGATCAAATTTATGGAAAAATTCATTAAGGATTCATATTGGTTATAATAAATTTTTTCACCAATTGATGGAATCATTTGGATTTTTGACAAATTTTTGTTTGATTTCAGGTTTAGACAAAACCTATATTTGCTAATTAAAAAATTATGACATTTTTAGGAAAGAAAAAATATTTCTATATTATATATATATATATATATGTATATATATATATTTATATTAATTCCAATTTGTAACTATATATAATAATTTGATTTTAATTCATTATATATATATATATATATATATATATATATATATATATATACATATATTAATTGTGATATAATTTTTCTATATTAATTTTGGTAAATAAATGGATATGTTTGGATAAAAGCATAATATATTACCAGCAGAAATATATACATAATTTTGTATCTTGTGTATGATGCAACCCTCTTAATATATATATATATATATATATATTGCATGCTACATGACATATATATATATATATATATATATATATATATATATATATATGTGATCAATACTAATATATATAGAGTATGTTTCATGCATATTTAGGTCATTGCACATTCAAACATGATTTTTCTCCTCACTTTTTCTTCGATTTTCTATTTACATGGCCTATCTCTCTGATATTGAAATCTTCTTTCCCATAAATATAGTATATCTTAAAACTATATTTTATCATTCATATATATCATGGGGTGGGGAGTTATATAAATGTAGCCATATACTGGGGCATGTGGTGAAAAAGGTTTCACCTGGACTAAAATAGACTTAAAAATATCTTGTTTTCGATGAAGATTTTTTTTTGGAAATTGAATTCTTCTCATCTACAAATAATGTTTGCAAAACTGAAAAAAAAGATTTAAATTGTTTTTTAAAAAAATTTTATTTTCTGGTTTCCAACTGACACCGCTGACCGTCACTTCTCATTTCCTAATAATGGACTCTCACAGCTGAAAAATCTGTTAGGTAGTCAAAACTGGGCTATGCGTTGATCCTAAAGACATTTTTTTTTTGTGTTTTTTCCTTCTAGTATTTAACTAAAAAATGGCCGCAGAAATGCGATTTTTTTATTATTTTCTTTAATGCTGCTTCATTGACATCTTTTATATAAAAGTAATTTTATTCTTATTAAAAGACTCCCTTCAATGGTTTTATCATTTATTTTCATACGTGTTCATTATTATTGAAGCCCATTATTTTTTACATTTACTCTTAAATTCTTTGCTCTTTTTAAGTTTGCGGAAAATTAAGACATGACAAACAAGATTGTCCTTTTGTGAATAGTGACAAGAACTAAAAGTAAATTTAAATATTGATGTTTTGTCTGAAGTTTTGAGTGGTTCTATAATAGTCATTGCAATTATGAACTTAGTTTTATCTAGCAAAATTCACAGATATTAAGGATACCACCTGGAACATAACCCATAACTAATAAATTCTAAAGAATACCGAAAGTTTATCGGGCACATTATTACCCATAGAAAGAAAGTAAAATCAATTTGCCAAAACGCCAATCAGGATTTATTTTACATTTTGAATTTCATTTTTATCAAAAAAAAAAAAAAAAAAAAAATAAGCAAAAATATATTTAATTTTCTCATCTTTGCTAATTTCACAGAGTTCTCTTATTGTGACCTGAAATAACATATAAAAATTGCCCAAATATTTAGTTCCTTAAAAAAAGACCAAGTCAATCAGATGAATCAAAGCCTTCAACTCAAGTTGGTTCTTGTGTTTGTCAGAACTCAATATTGACCTTCAAAGAAATTTCTGAAAATATTTCTTTTTTTACAACAACAGACTGTGTGTCAGCTGCCAAATTCTTCAAAAAAAAATAATGTGTGTGTACATTATTGTATTTTTAAAATTGTGTACAAAGAAATATATGTGTGTATGTGTGTGTGTATATATATATGTATGTTTGTTGTCAGGATTCTACGTATGTGATTTAATTTGAAAAAAAAAAATGTATATATATGTATTTCAAACTGTGTGCATATAGGATTATGTGTCGATTATTCGTATATATTTGCCTGTCATAAGGAGTGTGTCGAGTTCATTTCTTCTTGCAATGCCATGTGTTTCCAGTGTATTTATGGATTCATGACCATCTTAAGTGGCAGCAGCCCAGTCTTTAAAAATAAATTCAATATAAAGAACATTTCTCAGTGTATAAAATTGTGCTTTCATAAGCAGAAGGATGAATTTTCATTCCACGCCAAACATCGAAATAAGCCAGAAAAAGATTCAGACAATGGATACACCTGTATGACAATAATTTTATTAAAGGTTGTGTATAATATATATATATATATATCATATATATATGTATATATATGATATATATTTATATAAATATATATATATATATATATATGTTCTAGCCAGATACAGTTGGTGTTATAGAAAGACAATTTGCCCAATCAGAATGTGCATTTCTAAAAACTTAACTTTCTTCTAGAGTTATCTATTTTATATATATATATATATATATATATATATATATTAGAGAGATCCTCCAAGAAATTGTACAATTGCTCTGGGAGATAATTAAAAAATATATATAATCACACATTTTTCAATGAATATGAATGTTCAGTTACTTTTTGTATCTGAAGTATTTGAATTGACAATATGTCATTCAACATAATCAATCAGAATGTTCAATGAAAGCGCCTCACCAATGTTATATATGTACGATGTGTGTGTGTGTGTGTGTGTGTGTAAATATATATATATAAATATATATATATATCTTTTATAAAAAAATGTATAAAACTTAAGCAAAGGACAAACTTTGTATAGGTATTTTAATACTAAATTTATATGACATTCTCAAGATTAATATATATATATTTTGACTATACAATCATAAGATATGCTTAAAATGGTGACCTTTAGCTTCCAGACTTTTATCAGTACGGCAAACTGTTGCTTGGGCAAAGTTGGACAAAGTGTCCTGTGGGATTACTGCACATGAATTTTCAATTTTTTGTTTGAGGGCCACCAATGTATTTAGTTTTCTGTGATACAAAACATCCTTTATATACCCTATAGGTAAACGTTTATATATAAATCAAGAGAATGTGAAAAGAAACTTTGGTCACCCAGTAAACTTTCAATCAAGGGTCTGGAACAATGAAATCCAGATAAAACAGGCAAATGCATCACTTAATGCTGGAATTGATCTGAAGGAAGTTGTTCGTTTACCACAAAGTGAAGATATAAATGACTGGATAGCTGTACATGGTAAGTTATGGTTCTTTTCTGTAGTTTATTTTAATTTTTAGTATTGTTATAAATACTGTTATTTAATTTCAGAATTTTACTCTGTCTGACTTTATAATTGGGTATAGCTTGTCTTGCAACTTTGATAGGTTTGTTTTGGTTTATTTTGTTTTATGGCATATTAACTTCAATGGGTTTTTTGTATGAATAAGTTTTTTTTTTTTTTTTTCCAAAAAATCCATTGCTGGTATTTTTATTATAAAAATATATTTTTATGCTTTCATAGTGTTTTGATCCCAGTTTGGGGATTAACTATTTGCCCATAGCTGGGACCCTAACAGGTGCTATCACCCCAGGTCAGGGTGGTCCCGGGATCAACAGCAATTAAGAGGTGGTTCCACACTCCTCAAAACCACCTGATCAGAAACCTTGCTACCAGATGTAGTATATCATCATAACCTGGACAGACAGTTTCATAGGAAATTATTGAGTATTGAATTAATATGCTTTTTATATTTTTATTTTGAACTACAACACATACTCTTTTGAGTTAAACTGTAGGTAAATCAGTATTTACATATTGTCCTCATCTTTGTTGCTGTTATCAATGCTTTGGCTGTTGTACCCTCTGGCCTTCATAAGGTGTATGTTGAACCAGGTAACATTGTATTTAATCTATGGTGGTAGATTGTTCTCATTCTACTGCTCATGTTTAGGGATATCTCGGCTAGTCCTTATTTTAGTAATGCTAACCCCATTTCCACTAAGTACATACTGCCTGGCCCAGAGACTACACTCACAATTACTATATCACCAAAATTCATAAGCCTATGCTTTAATCCATTAGGCCATTGTCTCATGACAATTCAGACAGAAATTAAGAAAATCAGGTTAACTGTGACAAATAAATTTGGTTATTTTTAAATTTTGATTAGTTTACACTGGTGCAATCAAAAGTTAGCACTCGAGATGTTATTAATAGTTTTTCACTCTTGGAGCTTTTATGCAATGACTACTTTTTTGGGGTAAGTCTTTATTTGCTTAATTTATGAAAAGCACATGAGTATGTATCTGGAGATGGCTTAGTCAAGAATTTTATTTGAACTGCCTGTAATCCACTATGAAATTTAGCAGATTTTCAGTTATGATATGAGGAGTAATTTGATATGCTGGTTGTTCTCAGGCTCTGGAGCAAGTATGGCATGTTAGTTAAAAATATATATTTTGCTCAAGAAATTTCTCCAAATGTTCACTGATGGCCATATGGATGAAATTAGTACCTTATCTTTTTCATGGAAGATGATGCTCCAAGAAGCAAAAATTAGTTGAGAAGAGCATGTCCCAAAAAGTATTCTGACATTAATAAAATTGGACTTGTCAGGATTTTTTAAGATTGTGAAATATGAAAAATGTTTAGAATACAACCCAGCTAAATATTCCACCCTAGGCAAATGGAAGTGATTACTCAGGAAGACTTGAAAAGAACAAGTTACCTTGTTCTAACTATGTATTGGTTAAACAAAAATCACATACTCTCTTTTTATATTTAGTGACAAGGAGTGGCTGGAATGTGCAACATGTCAAGTATTATATATGGAGTGAATCACTTTCTGATTGAGTGCATAAATCTCCTCATGAGACAGCGTTTTGTTCTGTTTTTTTAAATACTGCAGTCAACATGAGTGATATTTTCAAATATGTCGATGTGGATGACTGATTAACTTTCATAAACGAAGTAGATCTATGCTCTAAAATATGAGGGTTTAATTTGTCATTTGTTTGAGAATTATTAGTACTTATCTATTTTTATATAATATATATACACACACACACACAGTGGGGTAAAACAAATATTCATACACATACAAATTTTTAATTTATTGTATTTCCAATTAATGAATAATAATTAACTGTAAACATATGCATAATAACTAAATATGCATAGAAAATGGAAAAGATTTTGGTTTAATAGAAATAAATCCCATTTATCCATTTTAATGGGTGAAAAAATATTCTTACAATGCAAATTTCAGATTTTAAAACTTTAAAATTACTTTAATACTCTAGATTATTCAAGTGGAATATTCTAGAATGTTCTAATAATGTTATCAGTGGTTATGTTTAGCCTAAAAAATACAATCAAAAATAATTACAATCTGTAATTGATATTTGTGCAAGGTTTTCATCATAGCAAGAGGTAAAGAATTCACAAAAAGAACTGATTGTTAAGCTCTGGAAAGAAGGTAAAAGTTACAGGAAAATCTCAGACAACCCAAATATTCTATTTAATACTATTAGTTCATTCACTGCAGAGTATAAAAAACTCAAAACTGTTGGAAACCAAAGAACAGGTGCTCCACGGAAGATTTCTGCAAGATCTTCGAGGAAATTAATGCATCAAATTAAACAAAATCCAATGGTTACTCATAAAGAGTTGCAGTATGATTTGCTTTCATTGGGAATCTGTGTCACTAGACAGACAATAAGCAATGAAATTCATAGGAACAATCTAAAGTCACACTCCCCTCGGAAAACTCCACTGCTATTGAAAGAGATGCCAGGTTGAAAAATCATATTGGGAAAGTGTATTATGGACAGATGAAACCAAAATTGAGTTGTTTAGACATAATTCTAGAAATCATGTATAGAGGAAAGATGGTGATGTTTTTCTGCAAAAGGTAACATATCGGTAATAGATGGTAGAATGAATGCTGCAGCATATCAAAATATTTTGGAAGAAAATTTAATGATTTCAGTTGAAAATCTTGAACTTCCTCCTGATTGGACCTTCCAACAAGTTAATGATCCTAAGCACACTGCAAAATCTATGAAGAAATCTAAAAATAATGTAAATATCCTGAAATGGCCAAGTCAATCCCCAGATTTAGACCCAATCGATAATTTGTTTGTCCTGGGTAAAGATGATAAACTACATCCAACAGCAAGGCCTTTGATCAGGTTTTCAGGAGCATGGAACAACCTCTTAATTGTTGGTGTTCCCAGGTCTACCCAAAAGGGGTCAAAACACTATGAAAGTATAAAAATAGCTTTTAATAGCAGCAATACTTTTTTTGAAAAATATTACCAGCAATAAAAATCTTGTTGGCATTAAATAACCCATTGTAGTTGGTATACTGTAAAAACCAAACTGAGAATTTGTGGTGTTATTTGAAAATTCAAATTTAATCGAGAGCTCCAACAAACATCTCAGATCTGAAGATCATATGAGATGAAGAATGGAACAAAATACCAACTAAAATATGCAAATCATTGAGAACTACAAGAAGAGGTTGGTTGCTGTAGAAGTGAATAATGGCTATTCTACAAAGTATTAAATGAAGCTTGTTTTCTTTTTTGTATTGTATGAATACTTTTTCACCCATTAAAATGGATAAATGGGATTTATTTCTATTAAATCAATTTTTTTTCTGTTTTCTATGCATATTTAGTTATTAAGCATTTGTATACAGTTAATTATATGAAAAGTATTTTTATTCATTAGTTGGAAATAAATTAAAAATTTGTATGTGTACAAATATTTTTCCCTCCACTGTATGTATGTGTGTGTGTATATATATATATATATATATATATATATATATATATATATATATATATATCCTAGTGAGCCAGGAACTACCTACCTAGGTTTCACCTAAATGGATCTTCAGGGTAAGCTGGCGTTTTTTTGTTTTTAACTAAAAATTATGGCACTGGACAATTTTTTCAGCCTACTGTTTTTATTCTTTCTTTTTTCCCCCCAGATACCTATTTGTTTTAATATATTTTTATTTGCAAATTGTGTTATCCTTTTTTTTTTTTTTTTTTTTTTTTATAGCAACCAAGTATAATTATTAATGCATATTTGTTACATATGCACATGCAAAGTCTCACACACACAATGTATGATTGACAGTATCAACTCTTCTTTTATAATATAGATTATCACTTTTCACAATTATAAGCACAAACAAATGAGTAAACTTCAAAGTCACTTAAAATGTTCCTAACATTATGCAAAATATACTCTTTGGGACTTTTGTATTATATATATATATATATATATATATATATATAGTTAACACAGCTTTTCATCATAGATTTTCACAACACATTTTTAATATAGAAATTTGACTATAAAAATGTTTATTAACATATCTACTTCCCACTCTTTATGGCAATTCAAAAAAACTTTTTTGTTTTTAAATGTAAAATGACATTTTTCTTTTCTTTGATCATCTTAATAAACTTCCCCCATTACATAAAGACATTTCTATGTGCTTTGACTAAAAAATAAAATGTTTATTTTATATTAAAGAAATATCAATTTTTCTATTTGATTCTTTTCTGTTTTAATAATTTGATTGTTTATTGTAGTTTTTCCAGACATTTAGAATAATTTACTAGTATACTTCAAATTTTATTCAATTTAAAAAAAAATTTTTTATGATTTATTTATTATAAAGAAACATGTTTTTATTCCAGTGGTTGATTTTTTTAATCGGATTAACTTATTGTATGGAACAATATGTGAGCACTGTACAGAAAAAACGTGTCCTACAATGTCGGGCGGGCCTAAGTGAGTACTATTTCTCTTTTATGTTTTTACAAACACACACATTTTTCTGGAATTTACTATTAAAACCTGAAATAGTCTTTTTTTTTTTTTTTTTTTTTTTCCTTTTTTTTTCAAGTGTGCCAAATAGATATATTTGTATATCTTAAATGTTGTTGTATATATCAGATTGACTTCTGTAAAATACAGAAATATATCCAACATATATCTCAAAGATAAGAGTAAGACATTAGCTAGATGAAAACACTATTGCCACTAATATCTTACCAATGTTAGAGGTATTTTTGCCACACTCTGGTAATGTGAGATATTTTTTAAGTATTTTCAGTTTTAATTTAGAAAGCATCCTGCTAATAGACAAAAACTAGGAAGCATGAAGGTGTTGATCACTCAGAAAAGAAAAAGGGATAGTTTCAAAAGACATAATATCCTTTAAAATAATTTTAAAAATTTTAGTATAATATTGAAAGAAAAAAATTGATTATACATAAATACTTTCTGAAAAACATTTATTTTTAAATTTTCCCAAACAAATAAAAGCATTACAAAATGGATTTTGAATATATTGTTGTCATCCTACCAAATTGTGTATTGTAGAAATTATTATACATAATAATCTTTGTCATTAATAGAAGAAAATTTATACATTAATCAAATAATTAATGAATGTGGGCATTTTTAATGTATAAAAATACACACACACACACACACACACACATTTTTAGCCTAGTTCACATATTCCTTTCCCGTGTTTCTGTAAGGTAATGTTACCCTTCACTGAAGCCTAAATTTTAGTCCAATTTTGCACCCAGTGTGACAGTCTGTTTAGGGATGCTGTATTTTTTACTGTGACAGCAGCTGTTAGACAACTGTCTATTTCTTTTAGCACTTTGTATTTCCATAAATGTTTTTATTGTTTAATTTTCACTTTATCACAGATATATCTACCATGATGTTTCACTATGATAGGAAATATGATTATTTGAATAGTGAACTTGTTTTACATTCAAAATTAAATATTGAATCCAGTAAAAAAAATTTTTAAGGGAAATTAAAAAGTGCTTGATACAGCAAAAACCTAGAGAAATTATAAATCATCCCACTACTTATCCTGCAAATTATGCAGAGTGTATATATATATATATATATATATATATATATATATATATATATATATATACTATATATATATATATTGGTCTCTCCCATTGGTCTCATATATAGGATCTTGACAACTCAATTGATTTGATTATGAAATTTTGTGTGATAATCTTAAATGGCACTTAAGAACCACTAGTGATTTACAAAGAAGGCTGCATATGGAGCAAGAATAAGGCTTACATGGGATGACTGTTGATTATATATATATATATATATATATATATATATATATATATATATATATTTTTATATATATTTTATATATATATATATAAAATAAATTATGTCCTTGAGTTTCCACAGCATAAATGTTAAGATAATAATTGTCAATTTATGATTTTTAGATATGAATATCATTGGTGTGATGGTGTCAATTATAAGAAGCCCACTGCATTACCAGCACCTGTCTATATATCATTGTTAATGGATTGGGTGGAGAGTCAAATCAATGAGGAAACAATATTTCCAGTTACAGTGGGTATGTATGTTTAATCCATCATTTTGATGGAAAAGTAAAGTATTTGGAATGTTTATAAAAATTATCATCCAAATTATTATTGTTTTTAGATATGTACTCTTTGACTATTTATATAGGAATATTTTAGATTGTCCAAATTTATTAAACATTTTTATATAAAAATATAAATAAATTGTTTAATATGTAATATTGACATCCTTAAATATTTGAAAGTATGCAGGGTCTGTTTAAAGAAATGTTATTGCAATTTGTTAAATTTCAAAGAATAACAATTACTAGCAACTAATAAGACTTCAATTGTTTACATTTAAGCAAAAAAATTATGGTCTGACAAGATATATGAAGCAAATATTCCTTTTAAATCTTAACTTTCACTAGTTATTCATTACACATTACAAAAATTTACATTACTTTTTCCAGTATGTTTGAAAACATTGATGCTCAAGTATCAATGATGGCAAATGATCACAATGTAGAAAAAGCTATTAACTACCTCTAAAATGTGTTTACATAAGCTTTTGAATATCATATTACTTTAAAGATTATTGAGAGTTGATAGCATTTTAATTCATAAATTTATTTGCAATTTCGAAAAAAAATTATAGAATGTAAATATTTGACTATAACTATTAAACTTTATTTTTGTTATTTAATATTAGTATCAGTTGTAAACACCAATAAGTTTAAAATCCTTTTTTTTTCATTTGATCTCATTCTTGAACAGCAATGAAATAAGACTTTTCTAGACAGTACTTTGTGTTCATTTGTTGAAATGAACTCTAGCAGGTTTTAATTGTTCATTGGAATAGAATTAACATTTTATACAGTATTCTAAAATATGTTTCTTTGTTTTAACAGGGGTGCCTTTTCCAAAGAACTATCAGCAGATAGTAAAAAAAATCATGACCAGATTATTCAGAGTGTTTGTACATGTTTATATTCATCATTTTGACAAACTCATTGGAATTGGAGCTGTAAGAATTTTTATATCATTAAATATTGTTAATAACTTGTAAACTGAGTGAAGAAAATATCTGCATAATATTCATGAATTGAAATGTGATGAAAGAAGACCAAATAAATAATTTATTATGTAGATTGAATAGTAAATGCTGCATGATTTTTTGTGTCAATTTAATGTTTATGTAATGGTTAAAATGTAATGAACATATATTCAAATTGTTTTTAGTCAGCTTCATTTTTATTATGTTATGTTTTTGAGAATATTGTTCTTAAAATACTTTTTTGGGGTTTTTATAGGAAGCACATGGAAATACATGTTACAAACATTTTTACTATTTTGTAACAGAACATAACTTAATAGATAAGAAGGAGCTTCAACCTCTGGTAAGTCTAGATTTTCTTGACAGTAAATAATTCTTGAACTTTAAATATTAAATATTGGAAAAATATTTCAATAGCCCACTTGGTTATCAAAATATTAAGTGTTTAAATCTTTAGTTTTGATCTATATAGTTATCATTTAACTTCCAGTAACTTCTAATATTTTATATACTGTTGTTATTACAGTAGCTTACTTGTTATTTTTTTGTGTTCAGCATTAGTATTACTTTTTAAAAACTGCCATATTAAAGGACCTTTGCTAATGTCTCACTACACGGTCTATTGTACTATTATTCTATATACTTAAATGACAAATGACTGTTGTATGACTTTAATCAATTTAAATTTCTTGGTTTCTCATTTGCAGTGTATTTGTTTATTTTAGTTTTTTTTAATTTTTTTTTTTTTTTTTTTTTGCTTGATTTTTGACATGAAGAATTGCCAGTATACTTTAATTTGGTCAATTTATTTAAACTATTGCTTTCATTTTCTCTTGTTATAGATAGGTTTCAAACATGTAGCCTCTGGCCATTTTCTTTTCTTTTGCAGAAGGAAATGTCAGAAAGGATTTGCAATTTGTAACCAGCAGAAAAACAATTTCCCATCACACTGCAACAGCAAGACCATGGATTAACAATGAAGAAAATGAATTACCTGCAGCTTTTTTTACTTGAGCAGGATCTTAGCAGTTTCCCTCCACAAGAACACAGACATGCATGCACGTACATATGCAGACAAGCCTGCACAGACATGTTGATGATATATATTTTAATGTATCTTCTGAAATATTCATGGCATTTTTTTTCTGTGATGAGATGGAAACATTTTCTTTTGAATTCTTCTTTGAGAATCTGACTGACAACTACAGCCAGACAGACGCAGAAGAGCCTCAGGATCAGATCAGCTGTTATTGTTGTAAATATCAATGCAAGTATTTGCAGCAAATGCTGCAACAAGACTACTGATCCCCCTCCCTTGTTTTTTCTATAAATGTGTCTTTTGGTTCGCTTATTTTACCATCAATTTTTAATTTTTTATTATTTTAATTTTTTACTCGTGTCAACTTTTGTCAATATTGTTAATAGTTTCACCTATTTAAAATTTAGTTGAAAGCTTATGTTCCAAAGAATTTTATTCTGAAGTAATGTATTGAAATTTACAAACGTATTAATATTGAAAGCCATTAATATTTCTAATTAAATATAAAACTTTCAACATTAAGTAATCTGAATACATTCCCAATGACTTACCCTTTAAATGTGTATTCATCCTATTTTGTGGGTAGGGAAAAGAGGCTTACCCAATAAAATTGCTTCTTTTGCTATATTTTTATTTCTAATATATAAAACTTGTTTCAATGTGCATATTTGAACATGTTATATTTAGTTGCATCAGCAAAATGTCTGTCAACATTAAAAATGATAAAGAACCACATGCTATGTATAATGGAGTCCTAAATAAGACACTAAATGAACATAAATCAAAATGGCAGTGAAATAATTGGAGAAATATTTAAATGGCTGAATGGAAATATTCAGTTAATCCAATTAGTCTATAAATTTGACCTATTTACCAAAGAAGATTTTTCATGTTTCTGTTTTCATCCTCTGTAAATTGTTAAGTCACCATTAAGTACTTTGATCTTCATTTTTGTGGAAGATTCAGTGCATCATACCAAGAGTCTGTGCAGATCTATAGGAATTAAAGAAAGAAATACTTTACGAACAATTTATTTATTTAAGTCCTCGTTTCCCTTTTAACATGAAATGCTGTTTAAGAAATTTTTCTTTTTTTTTCTTTTTTTTCCTTTTTCTTTGTTATTTCAAATCCACTAACTTAAGCTGTCATTGCAATGATAGTTTGATGTATTTGTGGGTTTATTCACTTTTTCCTCTCATTTCTTTGATCTTTATTTGAACTCATTAAAGACTTGACACAGCAGTTAAACTGGTGTGTTGTAAGTTACTTCTCATCGCAGTGTGACAATTCACTGCTTTTCATAAAGGCTGCATTATTTTCTATTTGATTTATTTCTATTTTGACTTATTTCTTTTTTCTCTTGAAAAGATTTTAAGCACAATGTCTTCTGTTTGTAGGTTAGATTTTTTACCCCAAGAAATATTTTGTATGTGTTCTAATTGTGCGGCAAGTTTTACTGAAGTTGTTTAAAACTTTTGATAAACAGCCTGAGATGAAAAGCATTATTTTTTTCCTATGATCAAATAAATTTGAAAAAAATTCAAAATGAGTTTGTTTTTCTATTTTAGACCAATCTTAAAAGAAGAATTGATGTTTTCTTTTTACACTTTCTTATTGCATAGTAAATGTTTAATAATCTTTGTCATATGCTCTACTATTTACTATACTAATATTTTCAACACCTTTTATCCTTAGTAATTTGCTGCTTGTGAAACTTTCTGTAGATTCAAATAAACTTACTTTGTTAGAATCTTTTAAAGAACATGAATGGGTTCTTATAATTGATTCTTTAAAACTAAGATGTGTGTGGTGGGTAATTAATCGGAATCTCATTGTTGATCTGAATATCACTTTTCCAGAAAACTGATTCCCATTAACTTTGAGGGTAAGTAAAGGTTTTGAAAATGGATTATAAATTGAAGTGACATAAATTGTATCTGGATGCTATAATACTACTTATTTTTTGATAATGATGAATTTCAGAAAGACTTTTCTGTTTCTAAAGCTTAAGTTAATCTAAGGTAGAATGGACAATTGATGATCTATGATTTATACTGTTGAAACATGGAGTTTATATATTTAGTTTATATGATTCTGAAAAATCCATTTCAGAACTAGTACACATGCAAGGGAAATAATTTCTGTTGAGGTTTGAAGGATTATAACATGCTGATATTTTTAGTGTATTTTTATTGTCCTCTCAAAATTAATTTGGGGTTACAATAATAAAATAAGCTATAACTTCAGAATTTGTATGAGTATGCTAATAAATATAGATTATAACTAAAAAAAAAATTTAGGCTGGTGACTACTAATAGCACTATACCCATAAGTTAATTCTCAATTTAAAAAATACAATTCTGCTATTAAGTATATTTAAGTGGTTAACCTTGATATTTAAATTCGACAACACCATTTGTTGAATATTAATATTTTTGGTTGTCAAACTTAATTTCCAACTTAATGTAATCCACTTAAAAGTTAATGATCATTTGTACAAGAATGAGTATTTTATCACATTTATTTGCTGTTATGAAAAGTCTTTTTGTCTACTTTTGAACTGTTATATAATTTTGAATTTTTTTTCTTTTTTCAGAACACAATCTAGGAATTCCATTTGGGCATATCTTGTATTTTTTAAATAAAAAATGTTCTAATGACTCAGCTATATCGGGATACATTAGTTTTAAAAATATAATTGTTTAATTTGATAAAATGTGACTCAGGGCTTACTTATCCAATAATATTGGAGGAATATCTATTAGCTATTTATTATAACTCCATCTGCAAAACTGATATTATTTTTATGACAATATTATTCAGAAAAGTAATTATAAAATCCTAACAAAAATGACGGGATAAAAAATTATTCAAGCTTATAGGGAAGTAAATATGAGGAGGGGGACAAGATAACATTCAGTATTTGCCTAATCTGCCACAGAAATACCTGTGTGCTTCCACGAACTTTGGTTTATGATTTTGAAGTGGTGAACTGTTTTTATGTATCTAATTCAGTAGTTTTCATTGTAAATGAATTTAAGGTTTATTTAAGCAGTAGTGTTTTGTGAATACATAAATAAACTTAATTAGATCTCCAATGCTTTAATACTATGAATCTGGAAGAAACTTTACAATTTATAATAGTTATTTGAGAAAGAATTATGCATAATGTTAAAAAATTGAGTATCTGGCCAGTTGTAATTTTTTTTGTTTTTTAACAATTTTATAAATTTTTAAAATGTATATAAAAAAAAAGTATACTTTTTGTTGGAAAATGTTACAAAACATCAATTTGATTTAAAATTTTCAAGAAAAAAATCTAACTTTTTTTAAGAACAGATCAAACTCCAACATCACATCAAATGAGCTTCAACTTTCAAAAAGTAAATAAAAATTTAACTGCAATCTAGGTTTGTTATGGACAAAGTATAAATGTGAAGTGTTTTTCTTTCTTTTTTTTTTTCTTTTTTTTTAAGTTCTAATTTACGCTTTTTCTGTTGAATATAAGTTTTGAAGCTGAGAAAAAAAATTTTTCAGTTTTCAAATGACAGTTGTAATAATTTTTTTACTACTAAAAAGTTTTTTTAATGTGCCTTTCACAAATATGTAAGGATTAGATGGTTCCATCCTTTTTATATCATGGGTTTTATGGACTGATAAGTCGCCCTGAAAGAATATGGAGAGAGTAGGTCTGAATTCAGATTTTGTATATTTTTATGCAGAATAAACATCTACCACTAAAACTGCTGTTTGCTTAAATTAGTGCTCTTGTTTGTAGTAATTTAAAAGTACAGGTCTAATACTTTTTTGTCAAAAAGCATGGAAATAAAATGTTGAAACTTGATTTCAAAATTTTATATTTGTATACATTCTTTTTCGTTGTTATAATATTGGATATGTTTAAATGTAAAGCATACACTGATAATCATTTTTTATTTAATATTTTTATTTATTTTAACTTGTCAAGTTTGGGATTTTTTTTGTGCTATACCTTTTAAAATATTGAGAAAAATGTACATGATGGTCAATTTTTTTTTTAAATCAATAATATTGTTACTATAAATTTAGAGGGTAAGACATCCCAGTTTTTTAAACAGTGAAATTAAGGTCTACCGGCCTAGAGATCAAAAGTCTTAAAGGAAATGTACCAGAATATAACAGCTCACTGACCAGTTGTTGCATTCTAGTATACTTGCCTGTCTTCGTATACCAACTGGTGTGTCTACTTACATTTATATCTTAGCTGACCCTATATAGCAATAATATATAAGGAATGTGATTATTACCTAATATAATCATTTTAAATTTTGAGACATTTATATATTAAAATATTCTAATTTTGTAATGATTATGATAGTGATTATATAGAAGTCATTCTTTAAAACTATTATGTCAATAGATTTTGTATTTCTTATTAAGTACTCACTGTCATTAGAATTTAAGTATTTTATTTGTTTTCGCTACTTGCTATTATTGTCCGACTAATATATTTTGTATTATTTTAGTTCAAATGTTATATAAAATATAATTTTGTATTGCTTATTAAGTACTCAGTCATTAGAATTTAAGTATTTTATTTGTTTTCACTACTTGCTATTATTGTCCAACTAATATATTTTGTATTATTTTAGTTCAAATATAACATAAAACATAATTTTCTAATGTTTGCAGTTTTCAACATGCATATTTTTCAGTTGTGTTATTGATATTGTTTCTAGTAATAAATCCAAGCCATGAAAGGCCTCATTAAATTAATTTGTTATATATTGAATAATTTCCACCTGAATTTCTGAGATAAAAATTATCATTATTTGTACTTGTGTTATTATCCGGGTTGTTATGGTTAGATTGTTTTAGCTATTGTAGCCCTTGGCTTTTCAGTA